CGCTCAGGGTATCGATACCGCTCGCCGGGCGGTAGTGTTGCCGGAGCCGAGGCCAAAGAAGACCGAGCTGGCGGCTGCGGTGGGCTCCGGTTTCAAGCCCTCCGTTGTTGCTCCTCCTCCCCTCACCCGTCACTTTTCTCGCATCGGCGAGGTTGCATCTTCCACGGCCGCCGCCGCCGCGTCGACTGGGTTAGCCCAACGGCCGGCGAGAAGCTTTGTCGCCGGCATCATCTCCGGCGAGCACGACCCCCGACCGCGGCAAGAAGAAGAACAGCAAGCCCCGAGGTCCGCCGAGGGCGGCCGTTGTTGCGTTTCGTCATCGAAGGAGGGGGGGGGGGGGTCTTCCCCCGCGAGGAGGCCCCCAGGGATGAAGGCGGCACCACCGCAAGAGGACACTGGAAGCGGTGCTTCCGCCGGGCCCTGCCGACCGCCGTCTCCTCTCGATGGTAGCAGCGGCATCGGTGGCGGGGAAGCGGGCTTCGTTGCGGAGGAGGAGGCCGTGGTGACGGGGAACAAGAGAGGCAACAGCGATGGCGGAGGCGGTGGGTCCACTGCCGTCGCCGCCACCGCTGGATGCGCCGCTGCTGCAACTGCCGGGGTTTCGCCGTCGGCGGCAGCGGCGGCGGCGGCAGCGGCGGCGGCTCGATCGTCGTTGAAACGCAAAAAGCTGCGGCGCGGCGATACCGAAGGTGCACCAACGACAACCCTCGAAAGCTTTTGGCGCCCCAAGCACGTCAACGGGCATTCTGCTGCTTCTCTTGCTGCTGCTCCTGCGCCTGCTGTTTCTCCTTCTGCTTCTCCTGCTGCTGCTACTGCTGCTGCTGCTGCTGCTGCTGCTGCTGACGCGGGTCCAGCGGTAACAATGGAAGGGGCGGCTCGCCCCCAAACTGGGGTGCCCGAGACCTTGAACGGCGTGGCCGCGGCGTCCCCCCCTCCGCAAGACGAACCAGAGTCGGCTTCCTCTACCGCGGTTGTCCAGCTAGAGGACGGCGGATCTGACCGCGACTTCACATCTGCTGCGGGCGGGCGGCACCGCCCTGGGAGAAGCGACTTCCAAGACCTGAGGGCGTGGACCGCCGGAAAAGCGGCGTCGGCGGAAGCGGCCGGGAGAGTAGGGCCGGTGGGGGACCGGGAGGCTCGCGCCTCTTGCACCTCAGAGGCGGAAGGTGCTAGCGAGGAGAAGACGATGTTCCCCGCGGTGGTGGGGGGGAGGTATAGTTGCGGCGGCGGCGGCGGTGAGGGGGTCCGAGTAGCGGGGGATGGACCGGAGAGCGCAGCAGGAGGAGGGGAAGGAGGAGGGGAGGGAGGAGGACTACGCTTGCCGCCGCCGCCGCCGCCGCCGCCGCCTTCTGTCGCGGGTGCCCCCGCCGCTGCCGCGGGTGCCGCAGAGATGAAGCAGGTTTTCGTCAGGATCTCGCCGTGGTCGAGACCGCCGGTCGTGCGGGCGCCCGCGGCCGGGCCGGCACGGGGCGGCGGGGCGGGGCCGACGCCACTGGCAGCCGAGTCGACGACGACGGCGGGGACGGCGGTGCCGTCGCCACGACCGAAAATAGAAGCGGCAGCAGGAGGCGACGGGTTGCTTGGCGACAGCAGCGGCGGTGGTGCTGCCGAAGGACGCGACGCCGGAGACCGGTGCCATCCTTCCCCCCGCGGCGCCGCTACCGGCGGAGGCGGCGGCGACGGCCGCACACGGCACGAGGCCGACCGACACAGCGGTGAAGCCCGCCACCCCGCCCATGTACCTCTCTCTCTCGGTGGCGCGGGAACCGGCGGAGCCGGGGGGCCCGCAGAATACGGTAGAGGCTCTGAGAGTGATCATGGTACGACAGGTGAGGACAACGTAGAAGGTTTTTCCGCCTTAGGGAACGGTGCGGGCGGTGGACAGGAAGGGGAGTCATCGCGACCGCCTTCGCCGCCAGATCGGCGGCGGCGGCGACGGGGGCCGGGGTCGTCGCCCTCGTGGTCGGGGGGCTCCGTGGATTCGGAGGTTTCGTCCCCCTCCCCCCCCCCCGAGGAGGAGGAGGAGGAGGATGACGCGCTACCGTCGCCGCTGCCGACGACGGTGCTGACCTGCGAGGACAAGGAGACGAAGGCGGTGGTGGGGATACTGCAGGTGATGATTTGATTGACTGATCGGTTTTTGAAACAGCTGCAGTGGGTACTTCCTCTCAGTACCATCAGAGTGGGGGGAGGGGGGGGGCACTTGCGTTAGGACGGAGAGGGGGGGGGGGGGGGGGGGCCCAAAAAAATCAATTTAACCACCCCCCCATACACAACCAAAAACCAAACCTAAACACCTATATTAATCAATAACCATATTTTATGCAATTTTGGAAGGAATCCCAACTTT